CCTTCAGCTTGCTGAGTCAATCCTCTGCTTTATCTAGCCTGTTTTTGATTCCTTCTACTGTGTTCTTCAATTCAGACATTGTATTCTTCATTTCCTCTGGGCTTTTGTTGATAGTCTCTATTTCCTTTTTCATGTTGATTTAATTTGCAGTAAGTTCCTCATAGATTCCCTGTAGTTTGTGGTAATTCTCAATGAACTCATTGAATTTCCTTATAACCAGTGCTTTGAAGTCGCTATCTGATAGTTGACTTGCCTCTATTTCATTTAGCATTCTTTCTGAGGCTTCCTCCTTTCCTTTTGTTTGGGGTTTGTTTCTTTGTCTTCCCATTGTTTGTGAGACTCTTCTTGTTTGCCTCTGCTTCCTAAATTGTTCTGTTCTGACTCCCTGGTTTTTTGGTGTGAACTTCTATGGTAAGAGACTTGTGAAAATCAGTGGTGCAGTCTCCTTGATCTCCTGAACTTGATGCTCCTGAGATGCCCTTTATGCCATTTATGTTGGCTGTCTGGATGTCTTTGGGGTTTGATTGTTGGTGGGTCTTTCTTTGGTGGGTCCTTCCCTCCAGATGGTTGACTGAGGGTCATTCCACCCACCACATCTTGTGTGCTGTTGTGCAGGTGCTGCCAGAACAAAACCACAAACCCCGGGGAACCAATCCACATCTGCAATAATATCTCTCCTCTACAATCCCACTATCAATAGCCTATTATCCAGTATTAATGAGGGCATAAATAAATTAAGACTGTTGTAAGAAAGGATAGAGATAAACTATAATAGAAATTCTAGTGATTTAATATGCACAAACTTGCTGGATAAGCTATGAATGTTAAAAAGCTCTGCAGGCAAGAAAATATCACTAATCATGGAGAAGACCATAGTGGATTTCGTCTCAGTAGTCTCTAGTATTTACCACTGTTTTTTCTTTCTGAATCTGCTTCTGATAGTATCAGACATTGACCTCATCTGACCTTAGGCAGCCTGCTCTGAGATTGCCAGAGATAAATTGTCTGCAGCTGTCTCCTTCAGTTGTCAATGTAGTCACTGTGCACTCAGCAGTGAGGCTTCAGTCTCATAGGGTGGGGCAGAATCCCTTATGGGGTTGGAGGATTTATTTCACCTCAAGCTGCTGCAGCTTGGAGGGGAGTGGTCTGCCTTAGCAGGATGGCTGCTGCTAATGGGGTATGACTTAGCACCAGGATCCCAGTGTGTATGCTTTCAGCTCTCTCCTTAAAGTGTCCATCTCCAGCCTCTCCTTAGGTATCTTTATCCACTCTGCTCCCACTTTTGCCAGAGTTCCAGGTAAGGCTCTTTTTGTTGATTGGCTCAGCTGCCCATCTCTGGCAGAGAGCAACCCTGCTGCTTTTGATCACTGGTTGTTATCTGTGTATTTTTTGGCTCTGGTGCTCTAAGCTGGGGATCCCAGCCTTGAGTTTAGATCCCACTCTTCTCAGGGGGATTCTACCAGCCACTTAATTATCCCTCAGGTGCTGCCACCTGTGAGCACCCAGCCAGCACTCTTGAGGCTCCACTGTACTACTCCTTACCAGTCAGTTAGTGGTGAAGATGACTCTTGATTCTTTTGTTTGTCCGAGGTTATAAGCCTTCTTTCTCACTATTGTTCAGTTGTTTGTTCCCAATGATTTCTCCACAATTTAGTTGTAATTCCATATTGGCCCTGGGAGGAGGTTAGTGTGGCTTCCACTCACTGTGCCATCTTGCTGACAGGTAATTTTTTTCATTGTACCCTAAAAATTTGATCATATGAATCTCTGAATTTAATTAAATCTTCAAATTAGGAGGCCTTCACTTACACTACACTGGAGAAGGAAGGGGTGCATTATCTGATTACTGCCAGGTGGGAATGGTAATCCAGTTGTCCTGGCTTCCCACTAGGCCTCTGCTGACAGGAGGGGGGATAATTTTTGTGGTGCTTGGTTTCTGTCTTTCTAGACTAGTCCTTTCCCTGCCTTATGGCTAGAGATAATAGGCTTTTCTTAAGGTTTTTTGATCTTTTAGCATTGGCATTTGTGGTCTGCCAGCTTCTTTAGCACCCATTCCAGGATATAGAGGAGGCAAAAGGAAAGCTCAGGGGACTCACAACTATGTTTTTCCTCATTACCCAATATCTCAGTGACACTTTGTGGGAGGAATTAGCAGAAATGTATTTACTCCATCTTATCTGGAACCAGAGTTAGCCCATCTGGAAACTGGTTTTTATTAAAGTAAATTATACTGAAATTAACATGGTGGTTCTTTTTATGCAAATAACCTGTACTAATTAATAGAATATTAAAGTTTCATAGAAGGGCCTTTATGAAATTACTTTTTCCTTAATCTTTAATTTGAATCTTTATCGCACCCTTTTAATCACATTGAAAGTGCTTCCTTCCCACACTTTGCTTTAGTAGTTATACTGAAGGGATGAACAGTTTCAACACATGAGAAAATAATGTCAAAGTTGGTACACATCCAGGATTGGAGGAAGGATCAAAAGAAACTGATAGCAGAACTTATACAAATATATCCAGAATCAGCCTACTCTGCTGCTCCCATACAGTCACACAAGCAGTGTGTTTTAATGAAAGAAGAAAAAAGTTCAGAGGAATGTATACAGCTTCAGTTCTATATAACAGCCAATTGTTGTTAGTATTTATTTTGCACATGTGAACCAGTATACGACTGAAGGATGGATAGTTACATGGTTGGTGCCTAAATGTACAGTTTCAGTCCCAGCTCTTTCTCCCACTCTACCCAGCAGGTCTCAGAAAATTCTGTTCTCAACAGGTGCCCCACAGAAGTAGCTACAGAAAGCACAGTCATATTGACAGAGGTACCCCCATCTTTTTCCTGCCTTCATTCTCACCAAACACTTCTTGGGTTACATTTATCTCTGGCCTGTCTTCAAAAAGTAGAAATGGTAAGATACTGGTTCAGTGATGGATTTCCAGCATTGGGTAATGCAGCTTAAATAAAGAAGATTTAAGTTCCACATTTAAGAGGTCTTACATCACCTAGGCTCAGCAGGCATTCTGTTTGTGGATTTCTGTATTTTGAAGTTCAAATGTACTTTGTTCCTTTCCTTCCAGGTCAGTCATCAAGAACTGGGGCACTCAGTGTGCTGCCCCAGCACTGGAGAAGCCACACTATGCAGGCAATCTATCATGCTGACAGAGATTGGGACTTGATTTGGTACCAACTACTGTGCAATTCTGCAGAGCAGTAATATCATGAGCTTATTAAATAATGACCAATACATTGGTTGAAATGAAGTTTCCAGTGGAGAAGTGACAATGCAATGTGGATAATTATGGCAATAAAATAAGAAGAGCTTTAGTTCCCAGCCTGAACCTGCCTCAGCTGGAGTCATTTCAACAAGGCATCCTCAGAACAAACAGATGTGACTTGGTACCATTTCCGATCAGCAGATATCTGGACAAAACATTAATGTAAATAAGAGCCAAGTGCAGTCTGTGTATCTTGATTAAATTACTTGATATTAAATGAAAGGTCTGAGTGGTATTGTTTGAAACCTGACTCATCCAGCTCTTCCAATTTAATCTTTTTCTGTTGTTGTGCAATTACAGTTGTCTCCATTTTCCCTACCCATTCCCACCTCCCATCCTCAAACCCACCCCCTTTGGCTTTGTCCATGTGTTCTTCATATATGTTCCTTGATGCCCTTCCCCTATTTTCCCCTATTATCCCTCTCCCCCCTCCTCTCGTTACTGTCAGTTTGTTCTTTATTTCAGTGTCTCTGGTTATATTTCACTTGCTTGTTTTGTTGATTAGGTTCCACTTATAGATTGAGATCATATGGCATTTGTCTTTCACTGCCTGGATTATTTAACTTAGCATAATGCTGTCAGTTCCATCCATAGTGTTGCAAAGGGTAGGAGCTCCTTCTTCCTTTCTGCTACATAGTATTCCATTCTGTAAATGTAGCATAGATTTCCTATCCACTCATTTACTGCTGGGCACTTAGGTTGCTTCTAGCACTTGGCTATTGTAAATTGCTTTTTAAAAAAGCAGTTTCTCTCTGTAGGGCAGGGATGTCAAATCCATTTTTACCTGGGGCCACATCAGCCTTGTGGTTGCCTTCAAAGGGCTGAATGTGGAGCTCCTTGCCCCTAGTTAAGGAGTAGATACATTTGTACAGTCCTAAAATTACATTTGGCCCTTTTAAGGCAACCATGAGGCTGATGTGGCCCCTGGTGAAAATGAGTTTGGTACCCCTGCTGTAGGGTGAGAGAATTCTAATGAGCTGGGGAAAAATTTCCTTCTAAATTGCTCTATCTGGTGTTTTTGCAATTATACTCTTAAATGACTGGAGTTATGCTAATGACAGAACTTGTTTTTGCTAGGAGGCTTCAGATTTTATGATGTAGTTCAACTGCATGATTCTGAAGAGCTAGTCTACGTACAATGAAATATGAAGACTATAAAGGAAATTGTATGATGGTTTCAAGATTCTTAGCACTGTCCAACACTCGAAACCTGTTAAAAGCTGTTGCAGACCAGGAAAAGTCACAGACAGAGATCAAGTTTAAAGTGGTTCTTTTAACCCTACAGCACATTAAAAAATAAAAACCTGTTGCTATGATTTTTAGACCCTATTTTAAAACTAAAGTTTTTCCAGCATCTAAATCATGGATCAGCAAAAAAATTTTCTGTAAAGAGCCCAAGAGTAAATAGTTCAGGCTTTATAAACAAATAGTTGCTCACTTCTGTCACAACTCCTCGGTTCTGCATGAAAACAGTCACAGAATATATGCAAATAATGAACATAGTGTATGGCAATAAAAATTTTACAGAACCAGCAGTGGCCCAGATTTGATCCAAAAGCCAGCTGTAATTTGTCAACTCCTGGCCTTATTAAAGCCAGAGAGGAATAGCTTCCACCCAAAAAACAACATCTAAGTGAGGGAAAGAGACAAAGAATAGGATCATATTATTCCCTTCTACTAACAGACAATACTTTTAAATACAAAAGAAGATTAGTTCAGCCAGTTAATCTTTTTATTTTGCATTTTGTAAAAAAAATACAGAAAAAGCTTTGAGAAAAATGTGTTAGATATCAGCGAAGGCAGGAAAACGTGGCTAGCTTTACAATATCAATCTAAACATACATACAAAGGCAAACATTAAGTAGGATGCTAGGGGAAGATAGCACTTTGGGTCTAATTTCAGTTTTCCTTATTGCATATAAAGATTGCTGATAATTCCAAGTCTTCACTTTTTCACAGTTAAACATTTTAACATTATTTTGTATAACATACTATAATGTTAATTTTATAAAACCATCAATTTGCCACTGTTGAATAGAAGTAGAAGACAAAATTCTCCTCAATTATGGTATGAAATCTCTCTAAAATGAGGTCACATCATCTATGTTAAATTCATTTTATTCTATTTTTAAAATTGCTTTTCAGCTATTAAATGAATATCAGTGGCCTTCCCATTTAATAATTTTAACAAACATAAAACTCGTAAGTAACAAGTACTAGATGAATTTTATGTAAAAAAAAAAAAAGACAACCTAGGAGGAAGTGACCCCACTATGAAGTCACACTTTGAATGAGTGATTTCAGTGATAAATTCCAAATCCATAGACTTAACACACAGCTGAAAAACCATTCATCTCTTTCTCCAAAGCCCACAACTGGAATAATCACAACAAAACTCAGCCCCTGAATATCCATGTAGTTAGACAGTCACCCAGTAGCTGTGGGATATTAACTTTTCTGAAGTGCTTCAGACAGAGATGCAGTGTTCTTCATGCTATTTACATGTCTGTTTCTATCTAAGTTCCTCTAACATATACAGGCTCAGATCATTTTCCACTGGCCAAGAGTCTAGCTGATCATCATAGCTGGCAATTCTCTTAACTCTTTTAAAAAAGCAGATATCAGAATGACAAAGTGGCCTCTCCCAAGCTCTCATGTCTGTTTCAGACCTTTTCAAAAGGCAGCAGAACAGGCAGACCTTCCTTCTCATCTTCTCCAAGGCTCAAGTAGCAGAAAACTAGCTGCCTATGTGTTTGTTCCATGTAGGCCATGGTTATAGTATACCCTGCTTACAAAAATAAAACCTACATCAAAAATTTTGGTTTTTCTTTTTACAATTTCTGCTAGCACTGGGTAACAATACAAGATGTGTTTGTTAATTTTTTAAAAATTTTACTCATGAAAATTGAAACTGGAAAATATGGTTTACTTCTAAATCTTGTTTTGAAAAGATCGTCAAAGATCCTATTTGATTTTCCTGTTTAGACACTCACATTGGTTTCTAGAGTATTTATCTGTACATTGTATTTATTAGGTTTTAGAAATGGGGAAGGTCTTTTCAGGTACCAAGGTATCAGTGTGAAAGCAGCATTCAAATGGGTTGTTTCTAAATTCTAACTCTTGGCCACTGGACTCCTTCAACTTACTGTGTCAGAATGTAGCAAATGACACTGGCAAGCCAGATTCCCACTTTATAAACAACAGAAGAGATCAGAACTCAGTTAATATCAGTCTAAAACTTCTGACAAACCAGCTCCTACACTAACTCATCTGCAGAATCAACACCAAAGGCAGGCACAAAATTTGTTGAGTTTCCCATTTCTGAGGTGGAATGAAAAGTCCATTTATTGAATCAGCAAGGTAACTTTACAGCAACACTCATTCCAGATTACATTTGACAACAGATGGTAAAATCAGCTTTCTGATTGACCTCTTAGAACTCACAATGGGTACCAAGGTAAATTTCCAAGCAGATGATTTCCTCTCTGATGAGTTGCTCAGCTGCCCTGCCACCAATGTCTAAGTATATCAGTGGTGTTTCTACATTTAGAAATGATTGTTCACATTAAATATCGGACATGATTACAGTAACTTCAACTATGGGCAGAGAAAGGAAGAGATATGGCAGTAGGGGAAGGACATGAAACAGACCTCTATTTTGGAAGGAACTGTTACTCCTTTGTCTTAGACTGAAATGTTCATAGATAGCTAAGATAGCATTTTTTGGTGTTTTCTAAAATTTCATTTGTCAACCAAACCACAGAGGACATTTTCAGGTGTAGAGATCACAGCCTAAAGAGCTCCTCGCTGTTTATTTGGTGAAACGTGATATCACAGTGTGGTTTTTGGCTGCAAGGCATCAATGCTTATTTGTCCAATAACCCTAATAAGTATCCTAAATGGTCAGTGTCCATTTAATCACATATGCCTTTCCTATACTTGCTTCCTTGGAAGAAATGAAGCCTTATTTAAATTCCAAAGTTCCTTTTCCAGGAGTGAAAGTTCAGGTCTCCTGGTAGTTCCCAAAAAGAATATTGAAAGGAATTGCAGGAGTTTGTATCTTCCCTCTGTTGGTACTACACAAAAGTTTGCATATCCCTAATTACCAGCTACTAACACCACCAACGCATGACAGCAAAGTGATCACAACCTTCAATTTAATGTGGGGCCTCTGCTCTGACAATAAACAGACTCAGCCTTATTCTAAAGAGTTCGGCATGGATTCATGCATGGGGACAAGCGAAATGTGAAGAGAAAGTAAGTTCACTTGACTGCAAAGGGGACTATTAATTTAATCCCAGGTTAAAATGAAAAGACAGCTTCTCAGAAACCCTCACATTTGATTAGTCAGCAGCTCAGTTAAGATAAAAACCCCATTTTCCCACAAATGGAAGGAAAGATGACAGGTTTTTAATCCTCTCCTCATACATGCACTGAAGTCATCCTTCTCTCCCTCTCATGCTCTAAGTCCCAATGGGACCTTTATTTCAGCTGTGCTTCTTTATGGAGCACATTCTTGGGTTCTGCAAACATTAGCATGAAACTCCCTCACAGCTACCCAGTCTGTATTACGGGTCAACACTCAGTTTGTTCCACATGACTAATAATTTTAAAATTTAATTTGCTAGGCCATTCTTTAACATTTCAAGTAGGGTCCAGACTAAAGGTTCTCAACACTAGCTCCAGATTAGAATCCCTGAGGATACAAAACACAGCATGGAAGCCAGGCCCTACTCTAAACCTACTGAATCTGGATCTCTGAGGGTAGGCCCTTATACGATATTTTTTTTTAATGGGCCAGAGAATCCTAATGCGCAGCTAATGTTGGGAACTTCTGCTCTGCAACATTTGACTCTGCTGAACTGTAACCACCCCACCCAACCCCAACCTAACACAAATATGTTCATAAAATGAGTTGGGATTATCCTCTGAGAGAAACTTTGTTTAGTTGGATATACCATTACACAGCAGTGTTAATCTTGTTTATGCCAGATTGACAGCAGATATCTTCAGTTAGGTAGTTTCTGGGCCTCATGGCACCCTACTTTTCACCATCCAGAATAGGCATAATGCTTCTAGAGGGGGAAGCATAGCATTAGGCATGTTTAGCTTTTTTTCCCAAACTTACAAAGCCCATGGATGACCATCAAATCAAAATGAATGTTAGTGTAGATAGACAGGGGAATAAAAATTATTCAGTTCTATTATATTGAACCACAATAAGTCATTTCTCTTAAAAATGAATAACAGAAATTTCCTGACTAATAAATTTTCTTGGCTTACACAAACTATCGACCGAAAAACAAAGTGTGAAATAACGTCTTATTTAAAATTAACCATTAAAGTATTAGTTAAAAGGTTAAATGGCTGATTCATGATGGGAGCACTAGACCTGGCCACCACTTTGTCTGCTGTAGTAAGAGAAATGCCCACATTTAGTGAAAGCACTTTTTAGAGATTGGGTTTTCAAATGTAATAGCACTGAAGTGCAGAGACACAGGGAGAATCTCAAACTTGGTTTCCCAGAGTTCTCTTGGTATTTTCACTTACTACAGGTGTGAGCAGGTAGAATATCTCATCCACAAAAGAACCCAAACTAAAATCCTAAATTTGGAACCACACTCATACATGAAACTGGTGCAAGCCTCCCCAAATACCAAGAAAATTACCTTTCTCTACATGGCACGCAGTGTCAAGAAATCCAGATTCTTAACCTTAGAGTAGACAGAACCTTCTACTGGGCTGAAGAAAGCTTAACTTTCCACTGGTTCACCTCTGATTCTTCAGGTGGCCACTGAAATCTCATGCATTTCTTAGCTTGAAGTTTGGAATTGTACCTAGTCTTTAGAATACTACTTTGCATTTTCTTTATATTTATTTATTTTTCACAGTGAGATTTCTTCCCTCTGAATACTAATCTATTGCCTTTAGGCTTCTTACTGCCTCCTCTTCCCCAGATCAAAGCACTCCACAAATTTTGATGTCTTCCAAACCCACAGTAGATATCTCAGTCCCGTTCATCATGTTCCAAGCAGTCAGCTCATATGGCAGCCCTGAAGAATTGACTGATTTTTGTAGTGATATTATCATCAGTTTCTAAACAGTTTCTCCTGCCTTCTGGTTAATTACAAAATAATAGTATAACACTATTTTGCCTTTGGTTTTAAACATTTCAGTAACTTCTTCTTTATGGATAATTCCAAAGAAGGAATTACAATTCTTTCCCCCATGTTGAAATGTTGGTGGATATATTTTCCAATCTTCAGTCTAGAGGAAACACAGGTAGCAAAAGAAGTCAAGAATCCTGAGATGAAGTGGGTATCACACAGCCCTTGTTGCCAGAGCCTTCACTCAAATTGCCTTCTCATGTTTTCTGCCCCATTTAACACCAGATTCCCCTAAATCATTGGAGGTCAAATCTCACTTGCCTTTCTTCACAATCTTTCTACTATCCTGTTCTCCCCTCTCTTGATGTTTCTACATCCAGCTGGACTCTCACTGCTGTGTGTGGATATGAAGCCTCTCCTGGGAGGGATTGCCAGCACCTACCACACCTTGTTCAGGTACTGCAGGTGAATGAATTAAGAGACCCGTAAAGCATGCGATTGTTTTTTGTTTAACTCTGAACAGCACACTACTATGTGAAAAAGTGGGAATAGGTCTGCATTTGTGTTGATTCAAGAAACACTTGAGCCCCACCATCTGTATCTTGGGTTAAATTTTAAATGTTAAGATATCTTCAAACCTCAATAAAAATAGAAGCATTAGTTCCAGTCAATCACTGTCCCACCTCAAACAACACTGGAGCATGCAGCCAGCCCCACACCACCAGAGGGTCTACCCCATTGCTTCAGGGTTTGGGGGAAAAGTCATGCATTATCCTCCAGGGGGAAGACTAGACGGGTGCCCCGGCTTGAGACCTTCTGGTCTCCCATTCCTAGGTCTCGGTCTTGTTCCAGCACCTCCTCAGAGCTGCTCTTTGTTCTTCGACTGCCCTCTAGGCTCATGGAGCCTGAGGAACCATTGGCAGTTACTGCGTTGTCCCCATAGGTTAAGGTGAGGTCACCCTCAGTCAGGATGAAATCAGAGTCTTCCTCTCTCAGTGGCTCTTGGTTCTGAAAAGTGCAACAAACAACAGTAACAACAAATTTAAGACTGGAATCTTCCAGAGCTCTAGCCAACTCCAACCTCAACTCCACATCTGAAACTGAGGGTCATGAAACTTGCCTTCCTTGAGCCTCTGGCATGATAACTGGATGTAAACCATAGAGTGCTATTCAATGTGTAGCACTGTTACCTGAACCAGGACTTGGAAAATCAGAAAGCAGCTATGATTTTAAATGTCTGTCAGTTTGTGACAAAAATGGAAGAAAGGGAAACCAGCCTGCAGTTTTAGCTTCCCAGCCCACAAAGAAAGGAAGGACTAAGTTCACTGGGCAAACTTGAAAATAGGTTTCAGTTCCTCTCTGCTCCGAGAAGGTCTTCTGGGCAGGGTTCCTGCTCTACACAAACTGTCCTAAAACCACTTGGTTTACATTGGAAATACTTTTTGCCCTAGTCAATAATAAAAGGAAGAGGACAAACTATTATTAGGATTTCTTTTCTATTCTCACAGAAAAACCTTGATGGGAAATTCTCAAGTAGATGAAGCAAGTGATACAGAGGGAGGGTACATTTTCTTGAGCATCTATTATATGCCTTCCAGGAATGTCACATAAGGTCTTGTTTGATCCTTAGCCCTCTTCTGTGAAGGGTGCAAACACACTTGTGTCACAAAGCAGAAAATCTGAGCTAAGAGAAACTATGAAATTTGCCCAAGGTTGTTTAGCTGGTAGGAAGCAGGGTTTGGATTTATGCTGCCTCCAGACTGTTGTAATCACATAAAGGATATGAAAAGTCACCCAAACAGGAGGAGTACTGGCATGGCATCTCACACTAAACAGAAGTTGTAGCAAAACAGACCAATCTGAGTAAGGCTGGTGTCAGCCAAGTGGCAGCCACTTGAAAGAAAAATGGCAGGGAGAGTGTCAGGACTCAGCATGAGGTCAGACACAACCTTTCACTCCCCAATGTGTTCAACAAGCCAAAAAACAAGGGGTGGTGTGCTCCCCTACCCACCCACCCCCACACACTGCATGGCTGCCAAAGACTGTGGACTTCCTACTTAAATAGCAAACAGTTTTTAAAACTGCTCTTTCTCTCCTATTTCCTATCTACCCTTCAAAGCATATCTGAAGTCCTGCATCCTGTCCTCTACACAAAATGGTCTCCTTAGTGCAGGACCTGAACTTGCCTCTCTGACAGCCTCATGGCCCTCGCTCAGTCATGCTGCCCAAGTCCACAGGCAGATTCTCCTGTGTCCATGCCTGGATTCCCCATCTAGATAAGGAATAACCAAAGGGCAGTGACCTCCTTCTCTCAGCATCCTTTCTTGGGGTGCTTAACTCATAGTAGTTGCTAGATGAATGTCTGTTAAATGCAGTGTCCTATGGAGGACTGCTGGGTTCTGCATATCTCACTTCTCTGTCCTAGTCCATCTCTGTGCACTCACTGGTGACAAGCATATTTCTGTTCTTTGCTTTGTTTCTCACTGATGTTGATTTCTCCAAACTCCACAGTCTGACTCCACTTAACCAATGCTCCATCTTTTTAACAGGCAAGCTCACAAACTCCTCTTGCTTGCTGCCTCACATCCTTACTGGATTGAGGCAGAGTGCAAATGTGTAATTAAATAAGAGTCCTCTAGTCAAGCAAAGGGCAATTGTAAAACTCGCTCCAAACTCCCCCAATTTCCTCCTGCCCATTACTGTTTAGAACGTTCTGAAACTCTTGTCTTCCCTGTGATAGTTTTCTTAACAACAAATGACATTATGTTCTCTGTTTTAGCATGTTACATTTCTCTGATTCATACATGTGCTAAATATTTTTGTTCATCTCTGTCAAAACACCTCTCCCAGGACTCTTAGCACCCACATTTCAGGAGGAGAGTCTTCAGCTCATATTTCATGATTTCTAAGTCTGACCCTCACAGGGAAAGAGAGGAATCTGAGAAAACTGCATTTAAGTGTAATTCTGCACAGAGGAAACACAGTTGGAGCCCTGTGTGGCCTCCTCTGACCACTTCCAGTGGGAAGCAAGGCAAAAATTCAACAACAGGACAAAAGACAAGGTTGATCCATTCCATTATGAAATTCACAAGCCCATACAAATGGTACCTAAGGAAAGGTCATTCAGAAACAAGGATATAGTAAAACCCAGTGGAAAGGGATCTTCAAGAGCTTAATGAAAGTTGTATGAGATGATGAAATCAGTCTACTCCCTTGAATTCTAGATAACAGGATCAACAAAAGTTTGGTTAAGCTGAAGGTCTATATAATTATATAACTAGCTGCCCACTGCAGCCTGCTATGAAAATGCAGCCTGCAAACAAGTGTATGGTGGGAACATACACATTTTAAATAACCATAGGTTGTTTTTGTAAGTGGATTATATTTTCTATGCAGATAACAAATCTAAGCAGTTTGGAATTAGTGGAAATGGTGAATAATGAACATTTTAGATATCTCCCAAATAAATTTGGTGTACAAACACCATATAGATAAGTGAGAACCACACAACAGTATGTCAAACAGCCACGACAGTGGCCCAGTCCAAGACCATCACCCATCTGTGGGGAGGCCCTCCACTATTTCCCCTTTGGGTTTTTCAATTAGGTTTTCAAAGACTCTTTGTTCCCACCCTCTCTTTCTCTCTCTCTGGAAACAACTGAAACTCTGGTCAGGACTCTAGCCACAAAACAGAAGCAGCAGTGCGGAGGGTAATTCTTCCTTGTAGTGCAAATCACCCAGTCTTGGGCTGATTGTGGGGAGTCATAGACCAAACATTACCCCAGGAAGCAAACCTTGAGTAGGCTGTCAAATTGGTGGGGGAAGTACTTTCAGTTTAAGTTTCTGAAAGTTTACCAAGCTTATGCTGAATTCAAACTAGTTCAGATGCCCATAGTCAATGAGCAAGGGAATAGCTGGTAAGCATCAAATTAGATAAGGTTTTTATAAAGTTTTAATAGTGGGTTAGTTCTGATACTATTACATAGACATGAAAAGTGACCATTATAAAACCTAATTAAGATAAAAGGCTTTAGAAACTGTTTAAAAGAGACTAGAGTCAGGAGGCAAAGAAACTTGCAAAGCCAATGAAACATAAGATTGAAGGGTATAATCAGTGGAAGCTTCAAGATTGCGATATCTGCTGATTCCAGGTAGCGCCTGCCCTGTTTCTGAAGATTAAAAAAATTCAAATGACCCACACTGTCACTTTAGACACAGGTCCAAACTGAGCAAACTATTAGCATTCAGGGAAAAAAACAGCTTTATTAAATAAGCTATCAGCAGGATAATAATACTAACATTTCAACCTACTGATCTAGTTGTTCTGATTCCAAATCCAGTGTTCTTTCTACCATGTTAATAGCTGCTGATGTTCAGGAGTCCCATAACCCTGGTAAAAGTTTTCTCTGTTGCTGTGCAAAATATATTAAGCATATGTAAGCTGGCCATTTGTAATAATCTTATTGGAGAAGCAAAATGTGTGAATTTGGAGGCTGAGCAGGAAGGCAGCCCTGAATGTACTTACATCATATACCTGGGGACTGGTCAGACATCGAGCTAGCAAGCCACACCAGGCTGGGAGAGTGTTGGTTAATGGGGGGCCACTGTGTGTGAGGATGGGCTTCAAGTAACTTTAAAAAGAGAATTAAGGAAAAATGCAAAGAAAACATACACCCAACAAAATGTGTTTAGAATTTCCAACAACTAAATCATCTGAGATTCTACCCACAAAAAGCCTCTTTCCCCCATTGTACAAGTACAATACAGAAAATACAGGCGTACCTCAATCTACTGTGCTTCTTTTTTTTTAAATTTATTTATTTATCTTTAGAGGGGAAGGGAAGGAGAAAGGGAGAGAAACATCAATGTATGGTTGCCCTTTGCGCATCCCCTGCTGGGAACTGGCCTGCAGGGAACCGGCCTGCAACCCAGGCATGTGCCCTGACTGAGAATCGAACCGCAATTGTCTGGTTCGCAGGCCCAAGCTCAATCCACTGAGCTACACCAGCCAGGGCTACTGTGCTTCTTTTTATTGCACTTCACAGATGTTGCAACTTTTTACAAGCTGAAGGCAAGACCCTCCACCAACAAAAATATTATGACTCCTTTCTTGTGGTGGTCTAGAACTGAACCTGCAATATCTCTGAGGTATGACAGTACTTGTAGTCCGCAACAGTCTGAATAAATTATTATTTTATTAGGTTTTTTTTTTTAGAAAGAAGGAAACAGTAACAGTAAAATGAATGTGAGAGAGAAACATTGATTGGTTGCCGCTCGTACGTGCCCCAACTGGGAACAAACCTGCAACCTAGGAATGTGCCCTGACCTGGAGTTGAACCCACAACCTTTCGCTTTCCTGGCCAACACCCAACCAACTGAGCCACATGGGTCATGACCAGAATCACAGATTAAATTATGCTCCATCAGCCTTTAGAATTAACTCTCAGGTTGGCGATTACCAATTTTCAGTTAAAAAGATTATTTGATTAATTAGAATACCCTTCTCCTTTCTTTTATGTTCAAAGAGAATTTTGCTTTCAATCAGCATTTCAGCTTTGGACACACAACCAGCTCACATCTTAGAAACAGGAGATAGTTCACCTGGAATGAAGGAATTTGTTACAGCCCCTGTGTCCACTCTGCCCCGGTTCTCTGTAAGGACTCCTGCTAAACCACTCTGCTCCAAGGTCACATGATGGAAATGATCAAGGTGGACAGGACCACAGATATAACCTGGAGCTATACTACAAAGGAGGAAACTGAGACTCAGCAAAGTGAAATGATTTCACTAAGGTTGCTCAAACCTAATCTCCTAACTTCCCATACAGGACTATTCTTCACCATCAACATTTTGGGACAGATCATTCTTTGTTGCAAGGGGCTGTCCTGCATTATAGGATGTTTAGCAGCATCCCTGGCCTCTTCCCACAAGATACCAGTAGCATCACCACCTCCTCCCCAGGTGTGATAATAAAAATGACCCAAGACATTCCCAAATGTCCCTTGAGAAGCAAACTCACCCTTGGTTGAGACTACCATTCTAACATGAAGGTCAGCTGTTATGTAGAGAGATCAGGGTTTGTCAGTGTATAGATATTTGGGTTGCCAAATGTATGGCACTGTGTTGGAAGAGTGATAAAGCACATATTATATTAATGATAGACCCGTAACCATTTCTGATACCCACAGCCTAAGCCATATATAGAAAAGGTGAAGACTCATATGGCTACTTCAAATGCAGGAATAGCCAGAAGGGACCTTAAAGGAGGGTGAGAATGTGTCACAACCATCTGTACCCAAGAGAATGACTACTTCAAGCATCATCAATTCCTGTCTTCATTTAGAACAGCACAAGAAAGAAAAGGCTTCTTTATAGGAGGAGGTACAAGGGAGACCCAGAGGCGCAGCACACTTCTAGTTGAGAATTACTCAATAAAGAAGGATGTATGGGCTCTGGTGAAATTCTTTTTTTTTTAATCCTCACCTGAGAATATGTTTATTGATTTTAGAGGAAGAAAAAGAGAAGGATGGAGAAGAAGAGGGAGAGAGGGAGAGAGAGATCAGTTGCTTCCCATACATGCCCTGACTGGAGATTGAACCCACAACCTTTTGGTGTACAGGAAGATGATCCAACAAACTGAACTACCCAGCCAGACTGCTGAAATTCTTTACAAACTGAACAAACTCCCTTTGACACCTATCCCCTAACCTAATTCCTGGGAATAGCCTCTATAGCCCTATCAGCTCTCCTGTACCTTTAATTCAGAAGCTGAAAGCAGCTGGATTTCTAGAATGACTAATATAAGAGTCACAGGGGAACTCCGAGGTTAACTCTCAGGTTCCTGACCCAGGCAGTTAAAGACAAGCTCTCTCTTCCCCAAAACAGAAGAGCTTCTCTAATAACCTCTTTAAAAGAGAAAAAAATTACATAGAAAATTTTAAATACTCAGACTGTTGGAAGGGCAAAAATGAAATATCAAGTCTAATTAATGAATTTGGCAAAACAGCAGGATACAAAGTCAAGATCCAGAAATCAAAGGCATTTTTGTATACTAACAATGAATCAGTAGAAGCAGAAATCAAGAAAAAAATCCCATTCGATATAGCAAAGAGAAAAATAAAATATCTGGGAATAAACCTAACCAAGGAGGTAAAAGACCTGTATGCAGAAAATTACACAGCACTGAAGAAAGAAATCAGAGAAGACACAAACAAATGGAAACATATACCTTGTTCATGGACTGGAAGAATTAACATCATCAAAATGTCCATACTACCCAAAGCAATATACACATTCAATGCAATACCTATTAAAGTACCAATGGCATATTTCACAGACATAGAACAAACACTTCAAAAACTTATATGGGCCCTGGCTGGTGTAGCTCAGTGGATTGAGTGTGGGCCTGCGAACCAGACAATCGCGGTTTGATTCCCAGTCAGGGCACATGCCTAGGTTGCAGACCAGTTCCCTACAGGCCAGTTCCCAGCAGGGGATGCACAAAAGGCAACCATACATTGATGTTTCTCTCCCTCTCTCCTTCCCTTCCCCTCTAAAGATAAATAAATAAAATATTTAAAATAAATTAAAAAAAACTTATATGGAACCATAAATGACCCTGAATAGCAGCTGAAATTTTGAGAAAGAAGAGCAAAGTAGGAAGGATCACAATACCTGATACCAAACTGTATTACAAGGCCACTGTAATCAAAACAGCCTGGTAGTGGCATAAAAACAGGCACATAGACCAGTGGAACAGAACAGAGAACCCAGAAATATACCCAAGTCTCTATTGCCAATTAATATTCGACAAAGGGGGCAGCAATATAAAATGAATTAATAATAGCCTCTTCAAGAAATGGTGTTGGGAGAACTGGACAGCTATGTCCAAATAAATGAAACTTGATCACCAAGTTACACCATACACCAAAGTAAATTCAAGGTGGATAAAAGACTTAAATATAAGCTGTGACACCATTAAATTCCTAGAGGAGAACATTGGCAGGAAAATCTCAGATATTTTATGCAGAAACATTTTCACTGATATGTCCCCAAGAGCAAGGGACATAAAGAAAAGAATAAACAAATGGGATATCATCAAAATAAAACAGCTTTTGCATGGCTAAAGAAAACAGTATTAAAATAAAAAGAGAACCAAGTTTATGGGAAAACATATTTGCCGATGATACCTCAGACAAAGGTTTAATCTCCAAAATATACAAAGAACTTACACGAGTCCACTCTAAGAAGACAAGCAACCCAATTAAAAAGTGAGCAAATCACTTGAACAGACATTTCTCCAAGGAGGACACACAGACGATCTAGAACCACATGAAAAGATGCTCAATATTGCTAGCTATCAGAGAGATGCAAATTAAAACCACAATGAGATACCACTTTACACCAGTCAGAATAGCCATCATAAACAAAGCAACAAACAACAAGTGTTGGAGAGATTGTGGGGAAGAGGAGACCCTAATCCATTGTTGGTGGGATTGCAGACTGGTGTAACCACTATGGAAAACACTATGAAATTTTCTCAGAAAACTAAAAACGGACCTTCCTTTTGACCCAGCAATTCCACTGCTGGGATTATATCCTAAGGGCCCTAAAACACCAATCCAAAAGAACCTATGCACCACAATGTTCATAGCAGCACAATTTACAATAGCCAAGAGCTGGAAGGAACCTAGGTGCCCATCAGGAAATGAATGGATCAAAAAATCATGGTACATACACACAATGGAATTCTATGCAGCAGAAAGAAAGAAGGATCTCCTACCCTTTGCAACAGCATGGATGAAACTGGAAAGCATTATGCTGAGTGAAATAAGCCAGGCATTGAAAGACAAATACCATATGATCTCACCTTTAACAGGAACCTAAACAAGAAAACAAACAAGGAAGCAAAATATAACCAAAGACACTGAAATAGAGAACAGGGGGACAGTGACCAGAGGGGAGAGGGGAGCAAATTTCAGGGGGAAAAGGGAAGGATTTACAGTAACTAGTATAAAGGACACATGGACTACTACTAAGGGGGTGAAAATGGGAGGGAAGTGGGTAGCACTGGGGGCTGGGCTGAGATGGGAGTAAAAGAGAGAAAACTACTTGAACAATAATTAAATTAAAAAAGGGAAAAAAAGGAATGTGTGAAAAAAAAGAAAAAAAAAGTGTATTGCTTAATGTCCACCCACTGATTGTTCTGTTCAGGAATGTGTTATTTAATGTATACATATTTGTAAAGTTTCCAATTTTTCTCCTGTCAATCAATTCGAGTTTCATACCATTTTGGTCAGAAAAGATACTTGATATGATCTCAATCTTCTTAAATTTTCTAACACTTGTTTTGTGATCTGACATACAGATTTATCCTGGAGAATGTTATATGAGCTCTTGAGAAAAATATACATTTTGTTGCTATTAGAAAGAATGTTCTATGCATGTCTATTACATTAATTTGATCTAAAATGTACTTCAAGTCCAATGTTTCTTTATTGATTTTCTCTTCAGATATCCTCTCACTGTTAAAAGTGAAGTATTAAATGTTCACAAGAATAAAGTTCTTACCACTTTAGCATTTTGTCACCCTCCTGTGAACGCTCTCCAATTTTGTCTATATCCTTTCTA